GCAGGCCCAGAGCACCCCACCTTTGCTAGGGACACCCCAGGCCTGTCCACAGCAGGGGGATTCCCAAACCTGAAAGAGCTGGAGCTGTTCAGAGTGACAGAGCACCCCACCTTTGCTAGGGACACCCCAGGCCTGTCCACAGCAGGGGGATTCCCAAACCTGAAAGAGCTGGAGCTGTTCAGAGTGACAGAGCACCCCACCTTTGCTAGGGACACCCCAGGCCTGTCCACAGCAGGGGGATTCCCAAACCTGAGAGAGCTGGAGCTGTTTAGAGTGACAGAGCACCCCACCTTTGCTAGGGACATCCCAGGCCTGTCCACAGCAAAGGGATTCCCAAACCTGAAAGAGCTGGAGCTGTTCAGAGTGACAGAGCACCCCACCTTTGCTAGGGACATCCCAGGCCTGTCCACAGCAGGGGGATTCCCAAACCTGAAAGAGCTGGAGCTGTTCAGAGTGACAGAGCACCCCACCTTTGCTAGGGACATCCCAGGCCTGTCCACAGCAGGGGGATTCCCAAACCTGAAAGAGCTGGAGCTGTTCAGAGTGACAGAGCACCCCACCTTTGCTAGGGACACCCCAGGCCTGTCCACAGCAGGGGGATTCCCAAACATGAAAGAGCTGGAGCTGTTCAGAGTGACAGAGCACCCCATCTTTGCTAGGGACACCCCAGGCCTGTCCACAGCAGGGGGATTCCCAAACCTGAAAGAGCTGGAGCTGTTCAGAGTGACAGAGCACCCCACCTCTGGTAGGGACACCCCAGGCCTGTCCACAGCAGGGGGATTCCCAAACCTGAAAGAGCTGGAGCTGTTCAGAGTGACAGAGCACCCCACCTTTGCTAGGGACATCCCAGGCCTGTCCACAGCAGGGGGATTCCCAAACCTGAAAGAGCTGGAGCTGTTCAGAGTGACAGGATGTTAGAGCTGGAAGGGGCCTCTGGGACCAACTAACCCAATGCTCTCACTTTATAGAAAAGACAGGCAAGGCCGGCAAGGTGGCTCATGCCTGTAACCCCAGCAGTTTGGGAGGCTGAGGCAGGAGAATCACTTAAACCCAGGAATTCAAGATCAGCCTGGGCAACATAGTAAAACAAAATTTCTACAAAAAATTTTAAAAAATTAGCCAGGTGTGGTGGCACATGCCTCGTATAGTCCCAGCTACTGGGGAGACTGAGGTGAGAGAATCACTTGATCCCAGGAGGTTGAGGCTGCAGTGAGCCATCATTACACCACTGCACTCTAGCCTGAGCAACAGAGAAAGACCCTATCAAAAAAAAAAAAAAAAAAAGGAGGGCTGGGTGTGGAGGCTTACACCTGCAATCCCAACACTTTGGGAGGCCAAGGTGGGCAGATCATGAGGTCAAGAGATCAAGACCATCCGGGCCAACATGGTGAAACCCCCCTCTCTACTAAAAATACAAAAATTAGCTGGGCATGGTGGTGCACACCTGTAGTCCCAGCTACTCAGGAGGCTGAGGCAGGAGAATTGCTTGAACCCGGGAGGCGGAGGTTGCAGTAAGCTGAGATCACACCACTTCACTCCAGCCTGGCAACAAAGCAAGACTGTCTCAAAAAAAAAGAACAAAAAGAAAATATTACTGAGACCCAGAGAAGAGAAGCTACTGTGTGCACCCCCACCCACTCAAACACCCTCCCCAACAAAACCTCTAGAAAAGACAGTGATGGAAAGAACAGGACATCCAGGTGGGTTGGCTTCCTTGGGGAGCTGGAGGTTTGGGGTGCCAAAGGCCATCTTAGACAATGTCCCTGTCCCTTTAAGGGCTGCACTGCTGCCAGCACCCTATGTACTTACTTAAAGGGGATCCAAGAGCCTGGCAGCCAGGCTGCTTAATGATTACAGTCAGCACAGCCCCCTGAGGACCTTAAGTGACAGCTTGAGTCTAGGGTTCCTGAGATCTCCGTGCACAGCATCTGGAAGGGTTAGGGGAGAGTATCTTCCCCCAGTACCGAACCAGGTTCCAAATCACCCGGGAGGAAAGAGTTGGGAAGAGAGCCACATGGGTGGAGAAGCAGTGGAGAGAGAGACCAACTTTAGAAAGTCTAGAAGAGGATTCATGCAGCACAAAAAGACCAAACTGCAACCACAGGGGCGAAGAAGTCAGGAAATGCTGCCGCAGCAGCCAGCCCAGTGGTGAGACCACAAGCCAGTGGGTCAAACTGGGATGGAGGGGGCGGAGGTTTAAATTTAGCCAGGTAAACAGGGCCGGCCAGGGGTGGAGAGGGCCTGGTAGGAGCTGTGCAAACACCTGCTCTGCGGAGTTGGGACATTTCTTGCTGAAGGGAACAGTCCAGCGAGAATTGTACCAAACAGCAGGTCCATTTTCAGGGTTCCCCCAGAGTGCTGCTTGGGGGAGTGCACAGGCTGCACCCTAGAGATGGACAGAAGGTTAGTTTTACTTTAAAGGGTGGCTCAGATTTAAAATGAGCATGTCTTTTCATCTTTATGGCAATACCGATGCACAGTCCCTCTGCTGGATGTTTCTAAGCTCCTAGATTCGGTGAAGACACTCAATAAAAACCCGCCAAGGCTGCCCTTATGTGGAGCTCCCACCTGCTGTCACCGCCCAGGGGGCTTTTACATCTATTGTTGTGTGTCTTCAGAGACCTGATGAAGTTACCAATCAACCACCAACTACCACCACGACTGCATTCAGGAGTGGGGCTGGGGCAAAGGTGGGCTCTGAACACCTGGTTAGAAGATTAAGGAGATAAATGGCAGGAGGTCAGAAAAAGAGCCAGAGAGAAGAAACTCATGAATTTTGGACACGAAAGCTTTTGTGGACTGACTGATTTCTGTTTCAGAGAAGACAAGGACTATCGCTTCATGTAAAACCCTTCTTCCATGCTAGAGAAGCCAGACTGTGGAAATCCAGAAACCAGCAGAACCATCCTAGAATCAAAAATTAGAACAGGCTAGCCTAGTCCTCTGCCTTTCTTGAACCTGAAGAAGGGCAAATAAAAAAATCTTTCAGATGCCACTAGAGTCAGAGAGGGTGAAATACACAAGGGAAGAATCATCCCGGATTTTTTCCTTTTTGCGACATATGGCTCCCAGCAATTTTGGCAACATTCCTTTAACCTACGCTTTTTGGACAGAAAAAAATTTAGAAAAGGGTAGTTTGAAGTCAGTAAGAAACCCTTGGTGATATTACAATGACCACATGAACTAAAGAGGGGACTGGTTTCAGTCACACTGGACAAACACAGACACACACCCTCACTCACCTATTCATATTCAAATACATATGATATCAGAGCCTGGGAAAGTACGAAATCCATGGGTGGAAAAAGACCAGCAAGCTCCTCCGAGCCTGGCTCCTGCTCCCCTGGCAGGCAGATCCCACAGAGTGTCACATGCTCTTGGCCTGGCTGTCTTTAAGAAGAGAAAAAGGAAGGAGAGATGTCCTTTCTGGCTGCCCTTGGGTATTACCCATCCATTGTCTCTTTAGGTTCCTTTACTCCCTTCACCTCCTGCCCTGGTGTCCGTGCCACCTGCACCTGTTAGTAAGAAGCCCTGGTTTTAATTGTGACCCTTCCCTTGGGCTGCTAGACTTGTCATCACCATGAAGACTCCAGCTCCATCACTCCTCTCACAACGGTGCCTAAGAGGTCTCTTTCAGCACTGCCATCCTTCCAAGGAGACACACCTCCTCCTTTTTGCTATTTATAACCACAAATCTTGTGTGTCAAAAAGGGAACAGACACTATTTTGCGATGGAGGAAAACCACCCCTCAGTCTTCCACTGTAATAGGGGGTGTGTTTGCCAGGACTTGCGTGTGTGAGCCCAGGCAGGCATGCGAGTGCAAGCTCCAGGTCTGGCATCCGCTCATCTGTGCCTGAGATGGGGAGTCCTGCTTTTGATAAGTGAATTCTGCAGGTTAATCGGATGGCAGGAGAGGCTGGGTCCTTAGGCTTTCTGAGGGTGTGCTGGCTGCTGCCTGGACTCTCTGTTGCCTTAGGGGCCAGCCACAGGACGTGGCTCCCTAGACTTCCCCTGTGCCTGGATGAGTACTGGTGGCTGGCCAGCAGCCGACCCTGCCCTGCTGAACCAGGGTTTTCGACTCCACACTGCCAGCATGGGCACAAATGTCCCATCGAAGCTCTGGCGAGTGGGCACTTTCCAGGAGCAGTTCAGGGGATTGGTTCCATGACCCCAGCCTTTCTCCTCCAGGCTGAGCCTCTGCCCAGGGGAGTAGCAACTGGAAGCTGTTGCCAACGTGGCCAGGTGGCAAAAGCAGTGAAGGGCCCGGATGAAGTGGTGAGGACCCGCCGACAAACACACCCCTTCAGCTGAGTAACCAACCCAGGGCCGGAGCCACCTCAGTTTCCCTCCCTGTAAAACAGAGCCAGTCAGCCTCCCCGAAAATTGAATTGCCTCTCCCAACGATTTGCAGCATGCAAATATCCGGGAGTTTGGCTCTGACTGGAGCGCTGGCCACATGTCCACCCAGGCTCCAAGAAGGAGGTTACGTCCCGCCTCTCCCACGGCGGGGACCTGGAACGCTCAAGCAAGCGGAGAAACACAAAGCTGAGTGGCACTCGGGCTCTACCTGCGCAGTTGGGGCAGGAACGCAGGCACCAACTCGCTTCTGGCGGGTAAAGTAATCCAGATGTGGTCCTCAGCGGAGGGTTCAGGCCGGGCCTGACCAAGCCCGGGAGAGTGAGCGAGAAGCTCAGGGGCTCCCCCTCCTCGGACAGCCGCGGGCAGCTGCTGCCCCGGAGCCTACCTGCCTGCGCCGAGGGCCCGGCTGTCCCCAGCTTTGTTCGCGGCCCTGGCCGGGGGCGACTCCCTTCCCCCCACCTGACCCCGCTGTCGCCGCCGCGGCCCACCCCGGCCCTCCCCGACCCGACGCCTGCAGCGCGCAGACCCACCCGGCGGAGACCCAGAGGGGCCGCGGGGCTGGGAAAGCCGGGAGCCACGCGAGGCTCAGCGGCCGGGGCAGCGGGGGGGGCCGTCTCCGGGGACTAGGGCCGGCGCTTACCTGCCTGTCCCGCCGCTTGTCAGGCCCGGGGGCTCCGGGTGCCCCTCGGCCGGGCCCGGCTCTTCCTGCGCTCGGCTGCGCTGTGTCGGCGGGTGAGGCGCGGCCCGCGGGGCGCAGGGGGCGGTCGGGGGCCCTGGCCCGCCGGCGGAGCCCAGGGCAGACCCTGCCCGCTCCTCTCAGCGCGCGGGCCGCTCGGGCCGCTGCATCCGACTCTTCATCCGCCGCAGGGGCGCGGGGCTGGCGGCGCGGGCGGGAGCGCTCCGCTCTCGGGGTCCCGCCAAGGCGTCTCGGGTCCCCTAGATGCTGGGGCAGCCTCCGAGGGGCCAGCGGAGCCCAGCCAGGCAGCCCCGGCGCTCGGAGTCTGCGCACCCTCCTGCTGCCGCGAGGGCTCCCTACTCCGCGCCAGGGACCCCCGAACTCGGCCAGTGGAGACAGTCGGGGGTGCGGAGCCCGCGGCCGAGCCAGAGGGAGGCCCTGCGCCCAGGGCGCCTGCTCGGGCGGCCGCCGACGGTCTCGCTGGGCTGCTCGCCCTGCTCTGGAGCGCGGTACCGGGGAAGTTTCGGCCCAAGTTGGCTGCGGGACGGGTGGCGGCCGCGGCTTGGAGTGGAGGGGCCGGCGCTGGGCGAGTGGATCCCGGGGGCGCCGCCGCCTCCGCCCCGCCTCCCGCGCCTCCTCCCCGCCCCCCGGCAGCCGCGCCGGCCCCGGCTCGTTCCTGCCCACCGGCCGGGCCGCAACACCCTCCCGTGGGCTCCTCCCAGGCGCTGGGACCGCGACCTCCGCACCTGCCTCCCGCTCACCTCCGGCTCCCTGGGCCCCTGAGTAGAGCGGCCTGGGGGTCTCGCCAGGGGATGTGGAAGGGGAGTCCCAGCCATCCGGCCCCCTTCACCCTGCCCCGGACGCCCGCCGCCTCCTTCTCCCGGAACTCGACCGGGTCCTGCGAAGGGACCGTGGGTCTTACCCCGGCTAGCAGCCCCCTCGGGGTGCCCAAGGAGCCCGCGCCCGCTCTGCGTGATCCTGGCACGAGCGCCCACGTCGGGGTCTGCGGGGCCAGAGGCTCTGAGAGCGGGAGAGAGTTCTGTCCTCCACTTTCTTGCTATGCCTCCTCCTTTGAATCCCCTAAAGAAGTAGAGAGATCTGGGAACTGCTTTGCCGCTTCGCAAACCCAGGTCATTTCCCTCCCAGTCGTGGGCCCTTCCCTAAAGCGCCCAGCTCAGAAAGACCCCTGGATTTGGGAGAAATGAGGCAGGAAGGTTTCAAGGGGCAAATGTGTTCTCTCAATACTTTTGTCGTGGATATAGGGCTAAATAATTATCCTGACGTTTTATGGGGAAACTGAGGCACAGAGCAGCGCAATGACCAGCCCATAGTCACTAAAAAGGCTAATAGCTTGAGAAGGTCGCTAGAATTCAGTGCTCAGCCTTAGTTCATATCCAAATTTAAATACTTTTCTGGAAGTCCCACGTCTTTTGTAGGTAACATCATAGCACCCCTATGTGAGCTACCCAAGAGGGTGTCCCAGGAGACAAAACAGGTGAGCTGAGGTCCCAGTGGAGATAGGAGCTGCTGGTCCTTGCTCCAGACCTAGGTAACAGGGACCAACCAAGAGCAGCCAACAGGATCCCAGGCCTGCCCTCTGGCGCCTTTGGTTATACATTCTGAAAAATCCAGTCCCTTTCCTGAGTAGGAGGTCGCCTTGCTAAAGAAATTGCCTTCCAATGCCTTACAGTGAGGGAAGGGAAGATACAATAGTGATAATCAAAGGCTTTGCCTTTTTAAAATGAGGAACCAAACAAGGTGACAGCCTCCCCCGTTCAACGGGGGAAGGGGCAGCAAGGAGGGTGAGGGAATGGATGGGGCCAGGAACCCACCACATTGGTCAGGCAATAAGGAGCTATTGTCCTCTGGATTTTACAATAGGAGGGTAAGAGCTGTGGTAGCAAATACCCCACTAATTAGAGGGCAAGGCTTCCTTGGAACTGTGCTGGTTTCAGCCGGAGATGCACTGTGACTTTTGTCACCTCAGGTGCACTGTGACTTTTCTCACCTCGGAGTGAATGGGGTTTATGAGACTAGGTCCAGCAACCATAAATGAATGGCCTATAATTGTGGGGGGGCCTGCCTGCACAGGAGGGAAGCTAGTTCAAGGCTTTATCCTGGGGACAGATGGGACAAGGAGAGCTGGCCTGAAGCCAGCAGAAAAGACTTTGAATCCACTTTGTTAGCAGGCTCAGTTCCTCTCTTCCTCAGAATAAAACATCAGTTCTGGTATTAGGTGTTTTTTTTTTTTACAGATCTCTTGTTGCCCAGGCCGGAGTGTGGCGACAGTCTCGGATCATTGCAACCTCCTTTTCCTAGGTTCAAGCATTCTCCTGCCTCAACCTCCTGAGTAGCTGGGATTACAGGTGTGCGCCACCATGCCCAGCTAATTTTGTATTTTCAATAGAGATGGGGTTCCTCCATGTTGGTCAGGCTGGTTTTGAACTTCCAGTCTTAGATGATCCGCTCATATCGGCCTCCCAAAGTGCTGGGGTTTCAGGTGTGAGCCAGTTTGCCTGGCCATGATGTTAGGGTCTTTGCTGGAGGTCAAGGGAAAATCTTATCCAGGAGCCCCTGATCACTTCAGAATGCAACATGGGAGAGTCTGAAGATACACTTCATCTGTTGAGCCCTACACACCCAGAGATGAATGAGACCAGTTTCCACCCTCACAAAGTTTACAGTCTAAGAATGAGGTGTGAAGAGGCTGACCTCTAATTCGAAGCCTAGAACGAGCAACAAGGGATGACTGCTTGGCCCCGAGCTGACAGTCTAGGATGAGAACAGATGACAGCAATCCCAGCTGAATGCTCTGCAAGTCCCATGCCTCCCGCGACCTCTGTCCAAGATGAGTCAAAACTTGTGGCACAGGGAGGGAAGCTGCAGTGCCCCCAGGAAAGGAGCTTGTGGCTGAGTAGCTGGAAAACATTTGAATGAGGAGACAGCAGAGACGTGGGCCAGATTCCCCCAAGGGAAGTGGTGAGCACCCCATAGCTTGAGTCACTGGAATGCTGGGGCATCTACCTCCAGCTCTGAAGGCAGGCACTGATGGGAATGCAGACAGATCTCACCCATGTTTTGTCTGTGACTGTTGGGTGGGGCCTCTTGCCTTCTTTCCCAAATGAAACATATCCCAATTTGGCATTTGTGATTAAAAAGGAAGGACAGGAGAAAGTAGAAGAAAAAAAGAGAAGGGAAAGAAAAGAAAGACTATTTGGCCCAATGTAAATGTGTAATGATCACTACTCTGTCTATTGAAGACACTGTTCATGCCCTCTCCTGGTCATGCCCTCGCAGGCCCCCATCCACACTCAGAGGTCCCTTCCCAGCCAGAAAGTCTAACGAAACCCCCATCAGAACTAGTCAGAGAGGAGGCTGAGGATCCTCCATGTGTTCAGATCTCAGTGGCTTTCCTGTGGGGTGCATCTAGGGCTGAGCACTGGTCCTCAGCCATGCTCTTTGACTGATTGCTCCATTTCAGCACCCCCAGTGCCAGGGGGAGGAGCACCAGGAACACTGCTGTTCAGCTGCTTCTGGGTGCAGGAGGAAAGCACCCCTGTTGCAGGGCAATCCACTCCATCCCAGTCCGCTTCTCTGACACCTTTCAAAGGTATTTATTTATTTTTTTGAGATGGAGTTTCCCTCTTGTTGCCCAAGCTAGAGTGCAATGACTCAACCTCGGCTCACCACAACCTCCACCTCCCGAGTTCAAGCGATTCTCCTGCCTCAGCCTCCCCAGTGGCTGGGATTACAGGCATGCGCCTCTACACCCAGCTAATTTTGTATTTTTAGTAAAGACAGGGTTTCTCCATGTTGGTTAGGCTGGTCTCAAACTCCCGGACCACAGGTGATCTGCCCTCCTTGGCCTCTCAAAGTGCTGGGATTACAGGCATAAGCCACCTGTGCCTGGCCTCAAAGGTGTTTTTTTAAGAAGCACAGAAAATTTTTGGGGGGAATTGATGAGGCTTCAAAGCCCAGAACAAGACCGAGAGGCAAAGCTAATAATAACCTTTTATCCAACAGCTATTTCACGGGCACTTGACCCCATTGCCTGTGGTATTGTGTTATCCAGTGTTCAGCTTCATCTCCTTGTCTGGAAGTCATGTAGGAGTCATGGTTTTGCTAAGAAAGAGGGCTTTTTAAAAACTGGTAGAATCTGACCCAAATATCCAGACACTATCCATGGATTACCAACACTGACTCACAATAGCCGAGACAATTTGGGACAGCTGGATCAGGGGAATTCTAAGTGCTGAAGGCAGCAGGGTTGGTAAGAAGGAAACTGCTATCATGAGTTATAATCTGGTTCTGCAGTGAACCTGTACAAGGAAAGTTATACCAAGATGTCAGCAGCATAAAGGAATTTCTATAAAAGCAGAAGACAGTTCTTAACACCTCATATGTGCATAGAGCTTACCAGTTTATAAACTGCTTTTCTTTTCCCTCTCTCCCTCCCTTCCTTCCTTCCTCCCTCCCTCCTTCCCTCTCTCTCTTTCTTTCCTTCTTTTTCTCTCTCTCTTTCTCTCTTTTCTTCTCTTTCTTTCTTTCCCTCTTTCTTTCTGTCTTTCTTTTCAGGGTCTTACTCTGTTGCCCAGGCTGGAATGCAGTGGCATGATCATGGCTCATTGCAGCCTCTGTTGTCCAGGCTGGAGTGCAGTGGCATGATCATGGCTCACTGCAGCCTCAACCTCCCATGCTTAAGGTATCCTCCTGCCTCAGCCTCCTGAGTAGCTGGGATTACAGGCAGATGCCACCATACCTGGGTAATGTTCATATTTTTTGTAGAGACAAGGTTTTTTCATGTTTCCCAGCCTGGTCTCAAACCCCTGAGCTCAAGTGATTCTCCCACCTTGACCTCCCAAAGTGCTGAGCTTACAGATGTGTAGCACTGTGTGTGGCTGATATGGTTTGGCTGTGTCCCCACCCAAATCTCATCTTGAATTCCCACGTGTTAGGGAGGTACCCTGTGGGAGGCGATTCACTCATGGGGGCAGGTCTTTCCCATGCTGTTCTCATGATAGTGAATAGTCTCATGAGATCCGATGATTACTATAAGGGGAAATTTTCCTGCACAAACTATTTTTTGCCTGCTGCCATCCATGTAAGATGTGACTTTGCTCCTTTGTGCCTTCCACCATGATTGTGAGGCCTCCCTAGCTATGTGGAACTGTAAGTCCATTAAACCTCTTTCTTTTATAAATTGCCGAGTCCTGGCTACGTCTTTATCAGCAGTAATAAGGTGGCCATCTAGTTTTATCTTAATGACGAATCATCAAAATGATGACAACCTTACTCATCTCACTTGGAGGGCTCTCCTCTAACTTCTCCCCAAAAGAGAATTTGGTGCCCCTCCAGGGAGAAGACAGCATGGTTACTGAGCACGGCTGCAAGTCAGTGCTCACAGGTGAAATTCAGACTCACCACCTGTGTGATCTTGAGCAAGACACTGATCTCTCCAAGCCTCAGTTTTCTAATCCAAAAGATAGGTGTGGTAAGATCACCTACCTTATGGCAATGTGAGAAGTCAGAGAATACATATAAAGAATCCAAGTACTGGCTGGGTCGGGTGGCTCACGACTGTAATACCAGCACTTTGGGAGGCCGAGGCGGGCAGATAGCTTGAAC